CGCCGCCGAGCCCTCGGAGCCGGCGCTTCCCCGCCGGGGCGCTGCGCGCGCTCCCAGGCAGTTACAGATCGAAGGAGCTCGCAACTGAAAAGTTGGTGGAAAATAAAGTGGTGCTCCACGCACACGCACGCACACATACACGCACATACACACATGCACGCACCCACACACGTACAACACACACACATACACATGCCTGCACACATATACGCACACGTACACACATACACGTATACACGCACGCACACACATGTATGCACACATACATATGCACACACGCACGTACATACGCACACATGCACGCACACATGTACACATACACATGCACGCACACATGCATGCACACAGGCATGCACACACACATGCACGCACATACACATGCATGCACACACACACAAAAGAAAAGGAAAAAAAACCCACCCTCATTGCTGTCTGGCCAGGAGGAATTCCCTCTTGTTTCCATGGAGTTCAAGTTGAGATATTTAAACACGAGACTGGCGCCTTCAGTTCATTCCTCTCCCCGCCCCCCTCCCAGACCCCGGGTCTAACTTCGGAGTTATCGCTAAGTTCTCATTAATAGCCAAGTCCTCTGGACTTGGCATTTGTCCGAGCTGTGATTTTTTTTTTCTTTTGGAAACAACTGGTTGGTTCTTGAACCGCAGAGGAAGTTAAGAAAAGCAAGAGAGACTTCACCAAGGTTGAAATGCGTTGTGGATGAGGTTGGAGAGCCCTCCTCTCTCTCGACTAATTGGTAATTATACAGCAGCATCCTGGTTGAGGTGGATTCGTCCCGATCGTTTTCACAGTTTGAAGCCTCCGATTTCAGTGCGGGGAGAAAGGATATTTGAGCAACATATGATCCATACTTAAAACAGAGTGAGCGTTTCACACTGCCTTGCTGGGCAACGAGTTCCAGTCACTCTACCAAAGAGCAGCTGCTGGGGGTCTGCGCCTGAGAAGGGTGTAGGAGGAGGGAGCACAGGTTAGCCCTGTAAGATATCGTTGAACATCCTCTAATAGTTGATCATCATTTCTAGAATGAAATGACAGATCAAATGACATTTGAGCAGGGAAGCAGCCTGAAAAAATGGATTTTTTTAAAACTCTGATTTGATTACAGTCAGAAATGCCTAGAATCTCAAGACTTAATATTCCTGAAAGCCTGTTCAAGCAGGCTTCAACAGCTCCTGTTATCTGTCCTGGTAGAAGCAGTGACTGAAGCTTTGAATGAGCTCATGAAAAAGTGATTGATGGAAGCTCAGCTCTTCTGTGAAGCTTTTCAAGTTATAGAAAAGGAATTCTTTTTTTTTTATATTGATAGAATTGTAAATGAGCAACATTTCAGTCAAATGATAACTGAAAAGAGACTATAATGTTAGCATTTCAGTTTAATAGAGTAACATTCTTTTTTGTACTTTATCTTATTTTGTGACAGATTTTATTATGAATTTGCTTGGCCAGCTAAAACAACCTTCTTTCCATCCTTCTTCCCTGCCCTCCTCCTTTTTTTCCCCCCTTCCGTTTCCCGTCTTTGCAGTTTGGAGTTTGAACTTTCACTCATGCTTGCTAGGCAGGTACTCTACCACTTGAGCTATGCCCCTAGTTCTTTTTCCTTTCATTATTTTCTGAATAGGGTCTTGCATTTTTTTTTTTTTTTTTTTTGGCCTGGGCTGGGCTGGGCTGGGCTGGGCTGGAATGCAATCCTATTTATACCACTGCTATAGCTGGGATGATGTGTGTGCTACATTGAGATGTGAGTCTTGCCAGCCTTCTCCTGGGCTAGCCTCCAGGCACTGTCCTCCTGATCTCCCCCCTCCCAAGTAGCTAGAATCACTGACATGAGCCACCACACTCATTTTCTCTTTCTGTTCCTGTCTCTCTTTCCACAGGGCCACATTATATATCTTAGACTGACCTCCCAACTCAAGTCACTGATGTCCTCCTGCCTCAGCCTCCTGTGTGCTGGGATTATAGATGTGTACTGCCATACCTGGCTTGCAGTTTTACTTTTTCAATGTCAAATTAAAATTATTAATTTTCTCCTTCATCTAAAATGTAGCCTTAGATTTATATGCAGAAGATTGGTCAAATCTTACAAAATTTCATCCCATAGAATTTCATGAAAGCAAATACTTGGAAAAATCCTTCACCTACTTAGATAAGAACTTTAAAATGATAAGAACAATTTTTTTTCTTTTTCTCTTTTTTTCAGTTGTGGGGCTTGAACTTTGGGCCTGGGTGCTGTCCCTCAACTTTTTAGCTCAAGGCTAGCACTCGACCACTTGAGCCACTGCACCGCTTCCTGTTTTCTAGTGGTTTATTGGAGATAAGAGTCTCATAGACTTTCCTGCCTGAGCTTTGAACCCTAATCCTCAGATTTCAGCCTCCTGAGTAGCTAGGATTACAGGCGTGAGCCACCAGCGCCCGGCACAATTTTTTTTTTTTTCTAGTGAAATCTATCAGTGCATTCTGTTTGGAACATACTGTTTTAAATTGAGCATAGTAGCACATGCCTGGTATTCCAGCACTTGGTAAGATGTATCAAGTGCCAGGCCAACTTGTCATATGTAGCAAGCTCTTGTCTTTTTTTTTTTTTTTTAAAGAACTTAGTTCAATGATAGTGTGTTTGCTTAATATGCATAAGGCCTTGGGTTTAATCCTCAGTACCACAAAGAAAGAAAAAAATGAAAACACTATCTTAGTTATCAGAAAATGTGTGTCTTACAGACAGACAAGCCTGTGTCCTCACGCTAGCTGCAGTTACTGCTAGTAACTTAGTTAGATTATGACATTACTCTATGCATTGATTTCTTTTTTTTTTTTTTATCGATCATGGGGCTTGAACTCTGGGCTTGAGCACTGTCCCTGTGCTCCGCTAATGCGCCACCTCCGGTTTTCTAGTGGTTTTTATTGAGATAAGACTCTCATGGACTTTCCTGCCTGAGCTGGCTTTGAACCGCGATCCTTAGATCTCAGCCTCCTGAGTAGCTAGGATTACAGGCGTGAGCCACCAGTGCCTGGCTTGCATTGATTTCTTCACCTGTAAAATAGATGAGACATACAAAATTTCAGTTGCATTGGGATGTCATTGACAAATGGAAATTATACTTTTTTCAGATGTGTATAACTTCAAGTTTTGGTATGCATAGAGTTGTACTGTGGTTGTCACCTCCCTCCTTTCTCTGGTTTGGTCTCAGGTTTTGATTTCTTCTGGGTCCTGTGAACACTTGTAGGATGTACTGAGAATTTAAAGACTGGAAAGGAGGAAGCAATTTGGGGGTCACAGACTTCATTTTGTCACGTGTGTCCTCCTGGTTTGGTTGACCTAGAACATGTTTCTTCACTAGTAGTTAGGTAAGACTATCTGTGATGTTAGTATGATACTGTGAGAACTGAAAAATGAGACGGCTTGTATAAGTATGTGGCATTATAAAATTATAGCTAATATGGTGATGGGGGAAAGGGAGTGTGGGGGCGCGCTTGCGCACGCATGTACTATCCTGAGGTTGAATTCATCCTTGGAGCTGCCCCTGAGCTCTGTTGCTCAAGGATAGTGCTCTACCATAGGAGCCACAGCTCTACTTACTGCTTTTTGGTGATTAATTAGAGATGTCTCATAGTTTCTACTTTGCAGTTTGGCTTCAAACTGTGATCCTCAGATCTCATCCTTGTGAGTAGCTATACTACAAGCATGAGTCACTGATACCTGGCCGTTGATTGTTTTGATAATTTAAATTTATAGCAGTTTTTTCAATTTCTGACTTTGGAGGAAAACTGTTCTTTTTAGGCCCCAGTGGAGTGCTGAAAATCAGAATGGATGGTTGGAGAGTCCAAATATCTGCATTTTAGATGCTGGTGTCTATTGTTATAAGGCCAATGAACCTTGATTCTGTTGAGAGGGATTTTTATCATTTTTGCTCCTCTCTCCTTACCTCCCCCCTCTCTTTCTTTCTTTCTTTCTGATGGGGAACCCAGAGCCTTGCACTTGCTAGGTGAGTGCTTATTTCCAAGGAACTACATCCCAATCCTGTACTGTTGTTGTTTATAGAGTTTTTTCTTTCTGTGTTTTTTTTTTTGATGCAGTTATTTTTGAAGGCAAGGAATTGGGACAGTGAACAGAGAAGAAAATTGAATAATAAAGATTCCTTACTTCCTGTTTTAATACAAAAACATGTTATGCAAAACCAGTATACTGTATCTTGTATCTTACTTTATTGAATAACATAGTGGCACCTACTTCAAACATACTTGTAAAGCGTTGTTTGGGTTGCTATAAGAAAATACAGTAGATTGGGCAGTTTATAAACAGCAGAAATTTATTTTCACCGTCTGGATGCTGGAAATTTTTTTTTTTTGGTCGGTCGTGGAGCTTTAACTCTGGAATTCTGGGCTTGGATGCTGTCCCTTGGCTCTTCAGCTCAAAGCAAGCGCTATACTACTTGAGCCACAGCACCACTTCTGGTTTTCTAGTGATTTATTGGAGATAAGAATCTCATGGAAGGGCTGGGAATGTGGCTTAACCGTAGAGTGCTTGCCTAGCAGGCATGAAGCCCTGGGTTTGATTCCTCAGCACCACATAAACAGAAAAAGCTGGAAGTGGTGCTGTGGCTCAAGTAGTAGAGTGTTAGCCTTGAGCACAAAGAGGTTCAAAGACAGTGCCCAGGT